GTTTGAAGGACTCATTTTATTACTTATTTGCTTTACATGGAAACGATTATAATTCTATGTAGAGTAAGTGCTGCAGAGTAAGTGATAATAGAAAACAATTGATTTAATTATGGAGAATGCTTTTGTCTAAGCAACCAGAGAAACCAGTTAGTTTTAAAAGATAAAACTCAAATTTGAAGAGCAAGTTATATTTTGAGTGAGTTCTATAGAAAAATATTTAAAGAGCATTTTCCTGAATACAAATGTCCTGAAAGATATGTAAGTGGAGGAGGAATTTTAAGAAATTATATTCTGCTTTTCTATATTGTTTTCCTTTCTTCTCATGCTGGGAGTTGTACCCGTGGCTTTACTTGGTCTTAGACCTGTGTATAGATGAAAAGCATAAGATGCTGGGTAATCACACAGCACATATTTGTGTGAAGATGTGTGTGAAGGGGTGTGTGTGTGTGTGAGCTTAAACTGACTAAGTATCAGCGCTTTGTGACAGAAAGGGAAATTGTAACATGGGCCCTAGACGGCAGACAATGTAACCTAATGGCAGACTGCAAGAAGGGCTTCCGACAATGCTTTGTTCCAGTCTCACAATGTAGCACCTCAGCACGTTTCTGGGAGTTTGATATAACTGAAAGTAATAATAACTGAAATCTAATTTGGTTTAAACTAAATTAAAAAAATACTTGTTAGTGCGTGAGCTAGTTCGGGTACTAACAGTAATTTGGTATGTTCAGTGACTTTATACAAGACTGTGTTAGCAGAAATCAGTACAAATATATAATGGGACAAAACTAAATACTTTACTTACGGCCAGGTAGTGTTTGTGTAGAAATCCAGTTTGAAGCATTCCCATAGCCAGCATTGGTGCTGGCAGCCACTTGGAATCTATACCATCTAAATTTCTTTAATCCATATACTGTGTCTTCTGTTAGGTCAGCTTCATAAAGGTATTGGATATTTTGATATTCAATACACTCTTCAGATTCCCATTCTCTGCACTTCTGAGCACGAAGCTGAGTGGTAATCTTGTAATTCTGGAAGTAGCCAAGGATAGTCTCAGGTTTCATCCAGGTCAGTGTTGCACTAGTTGACTGAACATTAGAAAAAGCAATATTTGTGGGAATACTGGGAACTGAAAATGAAAAGAAAAAGGGAAAACAATTGAACTAGCAAACATCTTGTCAAATTCTATGTACAAAACAAATGCAACTTTATGCTGGCAGATTTTAATATGTAATAAAGACTGAACATGAAATGAACAACGGAGATTTCACTGACCGTGAATAAACCATCGAAAGGAAGATACAAGAAGTTCTAAATTTGGAGCACCGTACATGGGCAAATATAAGTGGCTCTTATGAAATCAGGCCCAGCTTTTTCTGAGTGGGGACAACTCTACCACGTTAGTGTAAACATCAGCACCGCAGAATAAAGGAAAGGGGTTAAAACGATTTTCATGTGATGGAACTACTACAGATCTGTAGTTATTACTGCACGTAGACTACATTCTTACACTCAAAGAACTAAGTTTTAAGGTAATATGTCAGAGACCACTGGTTGAAGAAGCAAAAGTAGGAAAAAGGATTAGTTTTCTAATTCCCCATTTTGCTTCTAAATGTAAATGAGCTTATTTAAATGAAACTTTGCCTTCATATATCAGCAAACTTCTATTGGTACAGAAAAAAAAATCACATGCTCATATGATCCTAAATGATTCCTGAAACATAGTCTGTTTTTAACAATTTAATCCCAAGATTGACATTTTCCATATTTGAATATTTTGATTAACCTAATCAAAGTCAATCCTGACAAATAAGAACCAAATATAAGGTTTCTAAGACTGTAAATTTATATTGGCATACATATAAATTTTATGTATGAAGAAAGACAACTATTTTTTAGCTGATTTTTATTTTATCTTTAAATATGTGAAATCAACAAAACATTTTATATAACATAGTCCAATATTTACATTGTCATTACATTTACAAAGTCTGAGGTATGTACACATTATCTTCTTATATATGTTCCTACTTGAAAAATTTGCCAGCAGTGGGAATGTAAAATGCTAAAACCACTTTGGAAAAGTGTGGCAATATCTCAAGCTATTAAATACTGAGTTTCCATTGTTAGTAGATTCCATCCAGTCTACCCCATCCTCTAAGGTCACTATGAATTGGCATTGACTGGAGGCAGTGAGTCAATTTTGTTCGTTTTTTTGTATGGTCCTTCCCCACATAATTGTCCCCCCAAACATATTTGTCATCATGTTTGAGCTCATTGTTAAAGTCACTGTGTCAGTCCATCGCATTGGAATCCTTCCTCTTTTTCGACACCCATTTATTTAAACAAACCAGATTTCCTTTCCCAGAAATAAGTTGCCTCTGATAACACTTACAAAGTACTGAGACCAAGGGCTGCGATCCTCGCATCTAAAGAACATTCTATCAGTACTTCCTCAAAGATAGATTTGTTTTCCCATGTACTTTCAATATTTTCAATGTTCCATGGTACTTTCAACACTACAATCTGAATGTATCGATTCTTCTGTAAACTTCCTGATTCATTGTCCCATGTACACATGCATATTTGGCAATAGAAACTACCATGCCAGGCGCAACCTTTGCTCGTTGACACTTTAAAGAGGACGTCTGCAGCAGATTTGACCCATGTAGTTCATCCGCTGATTTTTCAGCTGCAGCTTCCATGAGCATGGTTTGTGGATCCAGATAACATGAAATCATGGGCATGTTCACTCTTCTCTCCATTTGTCAGGATGTTACTCACTGGCCCAGTTGGATTTTGTTTGACATTACTACCGTCTACTTTGAAGGCCGCGGTCCTTGATTTTCATCAGCAAGCGCCTCAAGCTCCCTTCCCTTTCAGTGAGAAAGATTGTGAAGACTCTTAACAAGCCTTCCCCCAATTCTGATGCCTCATTCTTCATGCAATCAAGGCCTCAAACAGTTTGCTCAGCAGACAGATTGAGCAAGTACAGATAAAGGAAACAAACCTAATGCACACCGTTCCTGACTTTCAACCACGCAGCATCCCCTTGTCCCGATTAAACGACTGCTTCTTGGTCTGTGTTCAGGTACGGCATGAGCAAATTGATCATTTGAAAATCCCATTCTTCAGTGTTATCCATAGTCTGTTATAGTCCCCAAAGGTAAGTGCCTTTGCATAGACAACAAAACACAAGACAACTCTCTGATAGTCTCTGCTTTCAATCAAAATCTATATGATCTGTCAGAAATAATACCATAGCCCTTATTCCACATCTTTCTCTGAATCCAGCTTAGATTAAAGCTCCCTGTTGATGTACTTCTCTGGTCATTTAAAAAATTCTTCAATAAAATTTTACTTGCATGTGCTATTGATATTGTTCAATCACCTCTGCATTCAGATGTCACCTTTCTTTGTACTGGGCACAAATATGAGTCTCTTCCTCTTGTTTAGCCAGGTTAATATCTTCCCAGTTCCTTGGTATAAACTAATGAGATTTTTAGCACTGCGTCGGGTTGTTGAACAGTTTCAATTGGTATTCATCCATTCCTGGAGTCTTGTTTTTTTCACTAATGCCTTCAATGCAGCTTGAACTTTTTCATTCAGTACCATTGAACGTAATCATATGCTACCTCTTGAAATGGTTTCATATTAATTATTTTGGCACAATGATTCTGTGTATTCCTTTCAACTTCTTTTGAGGCTTCCAGTTTAATATTCTGCCCATAACATCCTTCACTATTGCAACTTGAAGCTGCAATTCTTTTCTTAGTTTCTCTCAGCTTGAGAGATGCTGAGTGTGGTCTTTCTTCTTGGCTTCCTAACACCATATCGTTATACATGTCCTTATAATCCTTGACTTTGCCTTCTAGAGCTGCTCTTTTGAAGTTTTCTTGGAGTGTGTGTGGGGGGGATTAACAGTTTATTATGATTTGTATCATTTTAAATATGAGTCCATTAAACCATATAGAAATAAGTCTGCAAAAAATCTGCAAAACAAAACATATTTTGAACATGTTAAGAGTAGACAGATGAGGTCTAATCCCGGATTGTTCAATCACTTCATTATTATGCTATGGCTGCCAAGTAATCCTTATCAGGTGGCTCAACCTCCTAAATTCAGCTTCATCGCAGATTCCAACTTTATTTGACGTTGTTTTCTGTCATCTGTCCTTGAAAGCTTTCCTTTAGAATCACAATGGCTGTATGGATGGTATCTTCAGGTTCCAGGTCCTCATTATGTTTTTTCCAGGAAAGTTTTCCCATTCACATAATTCTTTTACATTTCTGTGGCTTTCCAGGCACAGTCAGCACCAGATGGATCTGACTGAAATGAGTAAGGTCGTCCCTCATTCCAACCACAAATCAGTAAAGAAACTCCAAATGGACATAGGCCACCTGACTGGGCGTATGCTTGCATGCGAGAAGCTACTCTTTGTACCAGCAGGGCTGGGAGAATAGGCTCTTGGTAAACCAGGTAGTACTGGTCAGCTAATTTCTGAGCTCTGTGTACAAGGCTGGTTGGTGTACACTCCACTCATCATACAAAATGGGTTTCTGTTTCTTCTCAGTAGCTAATACCACTCCATGTTCAGCTTTTATTTCTACTGAGGGAGCTCCTCCAGCTACAGCAGCCAAAGCATATTCAATCTGGACATGTTTACCGGAGAGGCTAAATGTTGTCAAAGAAAAGATGTATCCATGTTCCGCCAACTTTACCCGGAGAGCCAAAGCACAATTATCTAAAATTTTCTAGTCAGCTCTTTGAATTCATCACTTCTTCCAATTGCTTTAACTATTTTTCTTTCAAGAGAGCTTTCAGAGTTTCCTCTGTTATTTGCTTTTCAGCCTTTCCTTTCTCTGCTGTCTTTATAATGACTTTTGGTTTCATTATGTATTATGTTCTTAATGAAATCCCACAATGATAGGTGTTCAGTCACTAATGTTCAATGCAGCCTCGAGCCTGTTATTGAGGTGGTCTCAAAATTCAAGTAGAATATAATCCAAGCTTGATTTTGACTCTCAAGGACCTGTATTAATCTTCTTCAGCTTCAACCTGAACTTGCATATGAGCAATTGGTCTGTTTATTGCAGAGTTAGTGCCTGGCCTTGACTTAGCTGAAGATATTAAACTTCTTCATTGTCTTTTCCTGAAGTTGTAATTAATTCCTGTTTATTGTTATCTGGGAAGGCCTGTGCGTGTAGTTGCCCCTTGTGTTGTTGAAAAAAAAGGTATTGGCCATGAATACGTTGGTTTTCTGGCAACATTCTATCATTTGATATCCAGCTTTGTGTCTGTCACAAAGGCCATATTTTCCAACTACTGATTTCTTCTGCTTCCAACTCTCACCTTCCAATTTGTACATTTTTAATTTCAGAATAAAGAAGTAGCAGAATTATTTAATTTTTTTCAATACTAGTTTTAGTATTCACTAATTGCATCAACTAGACTTCATTCTAAGCCTGTAGATGTTTTTCTATCCTAGAGAGCACTGTACTTCAAGATCTATGTTAAAATGGTTTTTTTTTTATGATAAATGCAATGTAATTTCTCTTCAATTTGTCATTCCCAGTTTATAAAGCAGGATTGACCAATGCCATGAACAATACGAGTCCATTTTGAGCTCATTAATGCCCGTGTTATCGATCTTTATGCCTCCAGATAATTTTTGATGAATTCCTTTGGGAAGGCCTTCCAACCTGAAGGGCTCACTTTCTGGCCGTGCATCAGACAATGTTCCCCTGCTATTGATGAGGGTTTCAGGGGCTAATCCCTCATAAGGGGACCATTGGCTCTTTCTCCCTAGTCTGTTCTTAAGTCTGGAAGCTACACTGAACCCTGTTAACCAAGGGTGACCCTGGTGGTGTTTGAAATACCAGTGACATAGGTTCCAGCACCATAGCAACACACAAGTTGTTGCTTTTCACCACAGAATGAAAAATTGACCGGTGAATAGTAGAGAGAGAACATATGACACAGCAATTTCACTCCAAGATACACACTCAAGAACAATGAAAACATATGCCTGCACAAAATGTTGTACAAAAATGCATATAACAGCATTACTCATCCTCAAATGATGGAAATAACTCAAATACGCACCAACTACCAAATGGATAAACAAA